CACCTGTGGAAACACAACGTCTCAGTTTCTCGATGGCAGCAAATCGCTCAAGATACAGTCGACTTAAATTCCAGGCACAAATCAAACATTTTGCACAAAAGCTAAAAATATATATTGTGCGCACGCTGCTTTATTTTGGCGAATGGACAAGAATGTCTTCAAAAAATACTTAAAGTTTGCAGCCACCAAGATAACTAGATTGAGATTTATCACGATTTGAGCGCGGACCAGGTGTAGACATCTAAATTAAAAGGTTAGAATACATAAAGATGTTTACATACGAATTATGCAAAGCATTATGAATTGCGATGTTGAGCATTATGTATGTTTAGACTTACCACATAAGAACGATTGTTGTAGTATCTATCATCGATCGCGGCACCGAGTTTCGCAACATCTTCTTCTCCAGTTTCTAAGTTAAATTTAATTAAAGAAAACAGTGACATACCTAGTCGTACCCGTAATAAGTGATCGAAATATTCCATCCCAAACGTTAGTATATCGGGTGGTTGGACGCGCAAAACTTCGCGCGCAAAGCACCAGAGGATGTTGGCAAAACCAGGTGGAACGCGCAAATTGGTATTAGACAATGGAGCTGACATAGGAGTCGTAGCTAGTCCCTAAAGTCAACCAAGCTTACGAACACAATGATGGTAAAAGGCTAAACATTAGAACATCCACCTATAATTTCAAATAAAGAATATCGATGGGTAAAAAAGCCGGAGTGCTTCCAAATTGTCATAGACCTTACTTAGAATGTTCCATAAATTTAAGTAAGCGTATTTTGTGAGTACATATATATTAGTTCTTAAGATGTATGTTTTATTGAAACCTGGAGATGGGGCACGAAACAATACATATATACACTTGATGGTCTGCTGAGTTTAATTTTATCGTTCTTTATGTGTTCATGGTTCAATTTAATTATGACCTACACCAGCAGTTTTAATTGTGTTAAAGTTTATTGCCATGACATCATCTACACAAACAAAGCGCTTTCAAGAGTAAAGTAGAATCCGGAATACAAATTAACTGATTATCACAAATATAAGACATCGCATTGATAAAGCAGTGAAAATAGACTTAATTCGAAATTTATCCACTTCAAAAATTTCCTTACTAGTTATAATTCTGATAACCGGAAAAGCACATTAAACGAAAATTTGAACGGAGAAACTCCTACGGACTCATTGCTTTTTGATTAAATGTTAGATAAAGCCATTCTGAGCCTTAAATATTCTAAGAAATAGTTTATCAAATTAATGATTCATTTTTCTTCGTGCGCGTAAGCGCTGTTAACGAAAATTAGTTGTTACCGGCACCATTCTACGTCAGATAGTCACATAAATAAAGCATTACACTGCCCCTCTCTCCTTTCGGGCGACATCCTCGGCCCTCCCCCTTAGTACACTTCCCGCGCCAGCCATCACAGCATATTCAGTACTACAAGAAAGCATCCACGAGCTACCCGCGCCTCTCGACAGACAACACGAGACTGAGGAACCGTACCTGGTCTCCTCGGCAGCTTCAACTGGATCTGCAGTTACGTTCGGTCTGAAAATCATATTCGGG